CTCGTCCAATGTATTCCAAGTGTCCTGAGTGGGTAGCGTCCATAATTTACTCGAAACAAAGTCATTTAGAATGTTTTTAGAGCATAAACAGTAGTGTATAGGATTTCCTAAAAGGGCGTTCACGAGTCTACGGAAACCGCGGCAGACCAAACCAGACGAAAGTGCGCATTCAGCTCGGCAAAGAACTCATGCTCTTCCTCAACACTGAAGTCCTCAGACATTTTTCTTTCGTTGTTTTTTTCTTTGCACAGGTAAACAGCACATTTCTTCTTCTACGCTTGCATTATCGGCAGAGCAGACGCTGAATGCGCACTTTCATCTGGTTTGGTCTGCCGCGGTTTCCGTAGACCCGTGAACGCGCTTTTAGGAAATCCTATACACTACTGTTTATGCTCTAAAAACATTCTAAATGACTTTGTTTCGAGTAAATTATGGACGCTACCCACTCAGGACACTTGGAATACATTGGACGAGCAGTATGGAGGAATATTGACACGTTTTTTGTGGACTTTTATGGACCTTTCTGCCTCGGGCGCCATAGACCTCCATTATTTGAATGTCAGCAGACAGCAAGAAGCCTCCCAGATCTCCAGATGCATTTGAGATATCAAAAAAGTACTCCAGAGTGTTGTTCAGCATGGGGGTGAGTAGAAAATGAAGGCTAATCATGTTTTGGGTGTACTATTCCTTTAAATATGTTCTTGTTTTTTATTATCTTGCATCGTTTTTCATTAAAATTTTTATCAGGTTATTTTTTTTTTTTTATTACTTGACACCCTTCTATTATATTAAGTCTAACACTACAGTGTATTGAAAAGCAGCCCCTCATATTTACCTTCTCCTCTCCAAATGACATTTTAGTTGTAATCTGCAGAACCATTTTTCATCCTGACACAATATATATTCAATGAAATGTAGTGAGTTAAGTTGTGAACTTATCTGACCTGGCCATATTCTTCCAATCATGTTGGCTCCAGGACTTGGTATGGGTTTTGGGGGGTAAGTAGAGAGGAATGTAAGATGCTGTCTCCCAGTATGTAGACTCGGGTTATAATGTACAAGTCGAGAAAAGGGCATTGTTTCAGATCCCAACCACTACGTCAATGTACCCTTAGACCTTCTTTCATAAGGACAGGTGACATAATGTCTTAGAAAACTCTTGTTTCTTGATTCAAATGTTTAGCAGTGCACTTACTTGTTCTTCAGTAGTGGAGTCTGGTTCAGTGATCTAGGCTATTATTGCTGAGAAAATTATTTCCTGTTTGTTTTGTTTTTTCATAAAAAAAAAAAAACATTTTTACACATTTCAGGTATTTTCAGTCTCCCTTTACTAGTCTCTGGTTCTTGGAGAGTTATTCTTTTTTGTTCCACTGAGAGAGGTCCTGTGAGGAGCACTGGTCATTACAGGATTATAATGTCTGATGTCCTCTACTTCCAGATTATGGTCCTAAAGGTTCTCACTTTAACATTCCACGGTATAAAAATATGTCTGCAACCACTGCTTTTAGTATATGATGCAGCAATAAGCTCAGAAATGTCTCATGCTTTCTTTTATTACTTGTTTTTACACAGACTTTGACTTATTTATTTTATCTATATGTTTGATACATAGGTTACATGGAATGCCACCAATATTCAATAAGAAATTCACTAATTTACTTAAAAAACAGATATTTTAAAGACTTCATTTTCCTGATGTGTATTAAGACATCTAGAATATTCAGTCAGTTTAAAGCAATTTGATACACCTGAGCTAAATTCCACACATTTTTGGAACCTCTTGGTATCCTACTGATAAAGCCTGGTCTTTGGTATTTAAACCTTTATGGGATTTAGTTTTCTATTTGTCTCCCACAATCCTCACACTGCAATAGTGCCATCATATATTCTATACTCTTGCTTTTAAGCTTCAGCATAATGTGCGGGAAAACAATGGTGATGAAAAAAAAAAGAATAGGTCTTTGAATTTTAAAAGTTTTATAGCTGGTGATCCCTCCTTTGTTCTCCCAATGAGGACCTCCACCTGTTTCTGATGATGTGAGCCAGAGCCTGTCCCTTTTAAGAGGCTGATCCCTCCTGATCTCTTTGATGTAACCTGACCTAACGGTTCCAACAAGCAGGATCTGACGATCATGGACAGACCCTCAGCAGCAAGTTTGCACAAATCAGAACTAACAGCAATAGGGGAGATTGGAGATGGGGATGTGCACGCATTACTGTTAGGGCCAAAAAATTGAACGGGGGCTCATGGAGCTACGAGGTGTCTGAACACCAAGCAGCAAGCAGTCACATGATCAATGCTGCCAGCCCAGACTTAAGCAGTAAAACCTGTGAATCTGTAAGGGCACATGAAACTGATCGAAGATGAAAGACGAGCTCTGACTTTCTCAGGAGGCCTGGAGTTCGGGTGTGGGGGTATACAGGGGCACTTCAGGGGGTCTGCCTAATTCTTGGATTAATTCAGGATAAATTTGAGTCTATGCTAAACAAAGATGGCAAGAAATGTGGAATGAGAATTATAAGCGAAAGACAGAAATAAGATTTTGAAACTGAATAAGCTGTAGAAAAACACCATACACTTAACAGTAGTGCGTCTAAACCCTGTTTTCTTTGTTTTGTTTTTTTCCTTGAATCAGTTTGCGCTCCTATTGCATGGCACTTTGGATCAAACCATCTGCAACTCACTTGTCTTTAATCAGATGAATATTTCACCACCAGAGCAGTGAGAGTGTCAGAGACCAACATCCATCTGCGAATGATTTAAGGGTTTCATTTTTTGAAGATGACACATGATAAAACAAGGAGGTATGGGTCAAAATGACTATAGACTCAGTTTCAGTCTGTGACAGAGCCTCTGCTCCTGCATGGGCCCTCACACATGTTTTAATCTAGCCAGGCATGTGTTTGAAGTTCCCATTGAGTACCATCAGATTCAACATACCTGGCTCACAAAACATCACTTAGACAAAAAACTGAGAGAATATACTAAGCTTTTTAGTGATACTGTCTTATTAGATGATTGTTGCCATGATACCTAATCAAAAACTATTAACTTTTTGATCAACTCTTTTTTTCTTTATTGATGTTGTTATTTTCACAGTAAAATTATAAATCCCAACAGGTACAACTGTTGATTTAAGAAGGTAATTCTTAAGTGTTGCATTGATTGCACTGGAAAAAAAAAAGAAATGGTTTTAGTAAGAGAACTCTATGGGGCGGATAAAAAGTCTCTTGGAGGTATGATCATAACCAAATTGGAAGTTAGCCATTTTGGATCTAAGCCACCTTTGTGTAGTTGTACAGAGGTTATATCTAAATATATTCCCCCTAAGCATTATGATCTACCAGTGTTAAAACTAAAAATTTAATAAAATGGTATAATCTCAATATGCAAGATCTGAGTGACAAAACGTAGAATGTGGACAAGTTCTGACCGCTGAGAAAAGCAGGTCACCTTTAATTGGCTGAGGCCATCAAACAAACATGGCAGCTCCTCACATCAACAACAGCAATCAGATGTTTATTTCACAACACACACTTAAAAGAGTCTAAGTCTAAATGTCTAAAATCAAACTTCCATGTCAAAGATTAAACTGAAATGAACAAATTCAAAGTGGTGCAACAGGTTTCCTTCAGTTTAAATTCTTTACTTCTGTTCAGCTTATGAGTTAATTGGAATTTGCCATTTAAACTGTGTCTTACGAAGGAAGAGCTGATTTTTCTCAGATTGAAAATTGTGACTTCACTGGATTTTTCCTTTTGTTGTGGACATGGCGGTATGGGGAATTAAGATTTCATGATCTGTTAATTGATGTGGCTCTTAATCAAGATACAAAATTTCCAGTGCATAGCAAACTAAATATGATATCAATACCTTTCAAGCCCAAAACTAATGATCAGTTTTGCAAAACTGGTCTACAGTTGCCATTATAGTCTTTCCCGACTTTAATTCTGCTCACTGAGAAAATAAAGTATAATGCATTCCAAATGATTAAAATACTGATCAATTATTTGTGAGTTAGGCACCATCCCGCATTCTGGTAACGCACCTGGTTAAGTCTCAAAAATATTGAGCTCAGATGGCATTTCTCATTATTTCCTCACCCTAAATGGATAAAACACCATCTATATATCTGTATATATATATATATAGATGTATATATTATATATATATATTCAAACCATAACAGTGTAATTTTTCTAAAACGTTTACTTGTTTCTCGGTTGTCCTGTGCTCACTTCTTCATGTTCTGTTTTGTATTTTTTCAGCAAAAGATTTTATTTATTTATTTATATAATAACACAAGATATTTAAGTCATAAAGTTTGACTTAAGTGTGTCCTTGACAAAAGCAAAGCCTTTCCTGGGAAGCTCACCTCAACCGTAACCAGGCATTCCTATGATAAAAAGCTGGCTTTCCATCAGGATGCTTTGCTCCACTTCAAATATACAGCTAGAGCAGGAAAGTTTGGGAAGGACTGAAGTGGGAGGAAGGACGCAAACAGGAGAAGAAAGAGTGATGGCTGCTTTGATCTTCAGAGACTGAGTCTGGATGAAAAAACAGAGTCCTTTTCAAGAACAGGAGCAACTCAGAAAGCAAAAAATAATCTAATCAAATTAACAAATACAACAGATATATAATAACTTCGTATTCTATATTGATGGAAATATTTCCCAATTTTTTACAAATATTTGTGTCGCTTGTTTTTTCTCTGTCAGTGTGTATTCTCACTTCATAAATTTGCTGTGGTATGGGAAATGGGCATTTCAAGGCCAGTAAAAGCTACCACATCAAATAAAAAATTTGTGGATCAAAAGAACCAACGCATCCACATTTTTCCCTGCATAAAAAAAAAAAAAAGAAAAAAAAAATGGGGGTAGTCTGCCACGCTTGATCGTGCCCTGAGTCCTGCCCCCGCGCCAGCGATTGGCTGGATGGACGCACATGGGGGGAAAGTTTGAATAAAATACAAGAGCATGGCACAAGTGTTGTTGTTCAGGCTTGTGCGCTTGATCCAGATGCGCCTTTATATGTCTTGTTAAAGAGAATTTCCCAAATTTAAACCGAGATCAGTACTTTTTTATAGATGACTAAATGGTCGAATAGGGCTAATTTATCTCAGATTTTAAGTTTTAACAAATCTAAACGCTTTGTCAACAACTGTTAATTCGCTTAGGAAAGTTTTATCCCTCGTTTACAGTTCTATTTGTAGAAGCATATGAGATGACAGGCGTGAGAATGTTTCCATCCCTGCTGCTGATGCTGTTTCTGCTGGTGCTGATGCAGTCCGGCGCGCTTTGCGCACGGAGGTTCCGGGGCGGCCGCAACTCGCAGCCGCGCCGCTCGCCGCCTCCTCCCACGCACCGGGCAGACCGGGGCGACACCACGGAGAGCTTTCCTCTGGACTTCACCGCAGTGGAGGAGAACATGGATAATTTCATGACGCAGGTGAAGAACCTGGCGCAGTCCCTGTATCCCTGCTCGGCACAGAAGCTTGATCATGACATGAAGCTGAATCTTCTGGTGAACACTTCTGTCACCTGCAACGATGGGAGTCCTGCCGGGTATGTAGCCACTTACTCTAGAGTTTAGGTAGTTATGTGGTCAAATTAAGCATCGTTATCACCTGAGCTGCGCTGCTCTGCTCCAAAATACTAGGCTTTCATGTTCACCTCTTTCTGAAAATGAACCTGTTTCTTAACCTAGTCAAATTAATTCCCTGCATGAAGCCAAATAATTGATGCATTATGTTAATTTTGTTGCATGAACAGAATGGAGTTTAAAGTTACATGAAAGGGAACATGGGAAAGATTTATTTTTGAGGACTGTATATGTGGTTCTAATGCGTTCAGTTTACTTTATTCCCCCTTTTTGGAGTAAATTTGATCTTTTCCAAATAAAATGAAACAACCAAAAAAAAAGAAAAAAAACAGACCCGGTCAGGATCAGGTAGGAGCTGGACAGCTGCTTTGCGTCAGCGAAGCGTGAAATTTGTGGAGAGCCACATGGCCCATGGTTCATTTCCTTTGCTTTAAATTAGAATGCAGGATTTGCACTGCAGAAAGCTAAGTTTGCAGACCCATGCCCATTGCAGACTTTTTGAGAGATTATGGGAGATGAACTGTGTCTGAAGTTTTTATTTGAAACCTGTATTTGGCTGGAAAATAAAATACAAACGTTCAAATTTAGCTAATATGTTCATAAAAGAAGGATCTTTACAAAACATGTTATGTGGTGTGACAGGACATTAATCACAAAACCCACATCTAAGATGTTTTATTCTTATTATATCATCTGTATGTGTAATATCTGTATATAACGACCACTAGATTATACTGTAAATGTGTCAAATATATAATTTTTTGCTTAAAAATTTCATGTTGTCCATCATTGGAAGCCTCCTCGATCTATTACATCAGATTGTGGATCAGGTAGCTCTTCCAAAGTAGGAAAGGAAATATTGCCCTTTTACTATTGTCTTTATTGAGTTTGGGACATGACAGTCAGAGCGAGGGATAGTGTCTTCCTTTTGGCCCTCCCCAAATGTAAACCCACATATATAACTCAGGGTTTTTTTTTTTTTTACTTTAGTTTTGTATGTTTGTGTAGAAAAAAATCCTGTGGGTGATGGCAATATAGTGAGGTAAACATTGGGTCAGAAATTGTCAAAACTCCAAAGGCATAATATGGCCAGAAGATCAGCATCCATAAACTTTATGAAAAAAATTACAAAGATAAACTAACTCACTCAAAAAGTGCCCTTCAAAATACACTCTATTGCTGTCCTCATTTATGCCAAATCAAATGTTTTTGCATGACTTTCTTTTGTGCAAAGAGCCAGTCCTAGAGGAGTTTAGTCATGGAGTAAATTTCATGTCTCTTTATGGATTTAGAATCCTGTCTAATTCCTCAAAGTCATAATGCCATGTGGTAAGAATAGTCTGCTTTCACTGTAAACCTCTTAGCGCTTCAGAGACCCAGCACTTCTGGCAGATGGCCATTCACAGCTAGGTTGCTAATCCATATAAACGGCATTTTCCTGAGACCTATTAATCACAGCTACACTCATCCAAGGATACAACCTTTAAGCCCTGCAGACAGGAATGGTGTTGTGTTTCACCTCCTGGAGTAGCACTTGTTCAGTATGTCATAGCGGCACCTTTATATTGTAGCTTTTTAACTTTCCCAAGAACATTTTATTTTATTTTTTATTGGTGCATGGCTAAGGGCCCTCATCCTGCATTGATGACTTTTGCTGGCAAAGGTAACATGAAAATTATTTGAGGCCAAAAAGTACAATTTGTTGGTCTGAACAAGCATTTGAAAAGTTCAAGCCAAGACTGTGGTTTTTAAACTCACTGAGATGTCTTTTGGCAGTCTCTCAAGATGAGTCATTAGTAAAGCTGAGGAAATAGAAAAAAGTTAAACTCTCATTTAGGAGCTTCTGCGTCTAACATAAGATTTGTTCGGTTTGAATGAAATTAAGTATTTTTCACAAGTGCAATGCCCTCTTGTGGACTGAAAGCCGAAAGCGTGCTTCTCAAAGATTCCAGCATTAATGAAACTTGTTCTTCAATTCTTGTGTCAAAAGATGGCTAACTCTGATTTTATATTATATGCCACAGTGCATACACAAGTCTTTAAACATGTCTAATTTCTCTGAAATTTTTTTTCTTTTTTATCAACACTGTGAAGGAGACAGAAGAATGATAAGCTGTAGCTCCAGAAATAATGGTGCTATACCTGAAATAAGGGTCAATATGATGTTTATCTCCTGCTCAGGCGTTACATCTAAGCTGAAAATACAAATAGGCTCATTGTTCTCAATAGTTGCTGTTTTCCGTCAGTCTTTACAGATAAATGTCAATATAGTAAAATATCCTTTTTTATTTCAAAGGGATGAGGTCACATTTGTTATATTGTTACCTTGTCTTCTTCCATCTGTATCCCATTGTTTAAAATATATTTGCACACAATATGCAGTCCATGAAATATACAATGACTCTTTTTTTCATGCAGGTACTATCTGAAAGAGTCCCGAGGCAGTAGACGCTGGCTGATATTCCTTGAAGGTGTGTTATTTATCAACTTTGTAACACATCAAACTAGGGATTTTATGATTATAGAATAGATATGTAATGGGTCCTTTTTTACCATTCCCTGTTCATCATTTTTAGGTGGCTGGTACTGCTTCAATAAGGAGAACTGTGATGGCCGATACGAGACCATGAGGCGGTTTATGAGTTCTTCTAAGTGGGCCCAAACTAAAAGAGGTCAGCTTGTTTGCACCACAGAGGGGGAAGCAGAACTTGCTTTCACGTTTTTGCAATGAAAAAGATCAGATATGATTTGCACTCATACACAGTGTTATTAAGACCTTACAACCAGTCTTAAAGTTGTTGCAAAATAGTTACCTGGCGCCCACTAAAAAGAAAGCATAGATTCCTTTCTCTGTCATTGCAGTGTAATGACTATAATCCTTTTGGTAATGATGATGAGTAAGAGGAGGATGTGTCTGGGGAATGGAGGGGAGCCAGGATGGCTAATGATACATCTGTCTCTGCAGGCACGGGGATCCTGTCTCCACTGCCAGAGGAAAACCCTCACTGGTGGAATGCAAACATGGTGTAAGCTGACTTTTGTTCCTATGCTTACCGATTGCTCTGACTAAAATCCCTACAGGCAGCTTTAACTTTATGTCAATTGTGCAGGTTCATTCCCTATTGCTCCAGTGATGTGTGGAGTGGTGCTACAGCCAAGACAGAGCAGAGTAAGAAATCTTGAAGTCCTCTCAATCAGGACAATCTGTTTATACTTAAATAATGGCTATTTTACAGCTCTTTTTTCTGATGTTTTTAGATGGATATGCCTTCATGGGCTCCCTTATTATCCAAGAGGTAGTCAAGAATCTTCTGACCAAAGGTCTAGACAATGCCAGAGTCCTTCTTTTAGCAGGAAGCAGGTATTTACATTTTAAATCTTAAAGTCAGGGGAGATTTGTTGTGTGCTTGGCGATGTGAATGTAATTTTAAATTTGTGTTTGCAGTGCTGGTGGTACTGGAGTTCTGCTGAATGTGGATCGTGTAGCTGAGCTCCTTGAGGGGATGGGGTATGCTGGGATACAGGTGCGAGGGCTGTCTGACTCAGGCTGGTTCTTAGACAACAAGCAGTATCACTGCACAGATTGTGTGGATACCATGAGCTGCACACCCACAGAGACTATCAAGAGAGGAATCAAGTAAGGGACAAAAACAAAATCAAAAAGTCATGACACAGTTGATTGTTTTATATGAAAAGCATTGTTGCTTATGTTGCTTTGTTGCGTCTTCTATAAGGTATTGGGGAAGTGTGGTACCCGAGAGGTGCAGACAAAGCCATGAAGGAGAGGAGTGGAATTGTTTCTTTGGATACAGAGTCTTCCCTTCAATAAAAAGTAAGTTTTTCATGTTGGGCCTCCTGCTGTCCTGTATAGCCCAAGACAATTGTAACTAGCATGGAACATTTTAATGAAACAAGAGAACGCAGAAGTTTTGATAAAAAGAAATCTTGTACTCCTGCTGGTCATATTTTGCTTATCAGGGATCAGCTCCTAGGTAGCAGTCTCAACAGAGACTCCCTGACTTCCCTCCCCCCTGACACCTTCTATAGCTCTTCTGGCATAGTTACTCCCGCTTGTCCTTGGCTGTCCTCTGGACCTCCTCCTGTGGGGACATGTCTGGAATACCTCCCTAGGGAGGCATGCAGGGGGCATGCAAAACAGATGTCCATGCCACCTCAGCTGACTTCCCTGGATTTGGTGGAGATGAAGCTCTTTTTCTAGGTGGCTGTGCACCCTGCAGAGAAAGCTTATTTCAGCCACTTTTATCCAGGATTGCATTCCTTTAGCCATGATCCAGATTTCATGACAATAAGGTAGTAATGTAGGCCATAGAATTAAGAACTTTGCCTTTTATCTCTTTTGCCTTTTATCTCAGCTCTCTTTTCACCATTAGGGACCAGTGCAGCAGCCGCATGATAGTGGCAGCTGCACTGATCTATCTATGGTTTTTCTGCTTCATTCCCTCCTCACTCGTGAACGGGAGACCAGGATACTTAAAACCCCTCAATTGAGATAGAAACTCTCCTCTGGCCTAAAGAGAAGGCAAGCCACCGTTCTCCAACCAAGAACCATGGCCTCTGATTTAGCAGAGCTTCATCAGATTTGGCAGAGCTTTGCACTGGGCTGAAAAGTGCCCCGGCAAAAGCTGTAAGTCCTAGTGGGAGGAAGCCAGCAGAACCACATCATTAACAAAAAGCAGGGGCAAATTTTGCTGGTCCACAGACCCTCCAGTCCAGTTAAGGCAATGAACAGAATCAGTGACAGAGGACAACACTGCCAAAATCCAAGATGGACTAGGAACAGCTCAAACTTAATGCCGGCAACTTGGACCAAACTCCTGCTTCACTTGACCGGATGGCTCTAAATGAAAGGCCCAAGACTCTGTACTCCTGGACTACTCCCCCAAGGCACCAAGGGGGCATGGTCAAATGCCTTCTCAAAGTCCACAAAACATATGTGGACTGGTTGGGCAAACTTCTATGAACCCTAAAGCACCCTGCAGATGATGTAGAGCTGTTGCAGTGTTCCACAGAAGGGAAGAAAACCACACTACTCCTGAAGCTGAAGTTCAACAAACACCAGAACTCTCCTCTCCAGTACCCTGGCATAGGCTTTCCTGGGGATGCTAAGAAGTGGGATCATCTTGTAGTTGGAACCCACCCTTCCATCCCGCTTCTCATGGAAGAGTACCACCACCACAGTCTGCCAGTCTAGGGGCACTTTCCGAAACACCACACAATGCTATAATGTTATATAATGTTATATGACATAAGAGGCGTGTCAATCATGACAGCCGGCAATACAAAGAGATCTAAGGTGCCCAGGAAAGATCTGATACAGCCCCAACAATTGCCAATGTTAAACAGGGGACTGGGGAAGGACATGCAGACCCAAAACAGCCCTTGGCCTACGGGTCCACGGGCAATTCCAGTGTAGAAGACAGTCTAGGCTGTCTTCTACACTGTCCAACCAATGGAGCTAGGTTCCAGAGTCCACCTCCTAAATAAGATTGGTTCATGGACTTAAAAAAATGTGTACTAGTCTAATCCTCTTTGTAGTTATTATTATTTTTTTTGTTGTTAAATGTTGTTCATAACTAACCATTAGAATACTAGGATTACACATGAATTATCAATTATGTTTTTTTTAAAACTGCTTTTTACTTTCGGACTGACCCCAAGACAGATAATGACCTTGGATCAAACCAGAATATCTCTGACCAACTGGTGGATACTGTTTATTGCCATAAAAGCAGAATGACTAGAACATAGGGATTTAATTTAACCACTTAGTTATAAAAAAAACAACAAGTATGAAATAACATTAGCATTGTGATTAAAGTGATACATGATGATAAACAAGAAACACCAGCTTTAAACTTAGTTCTGCAGAGAAGCAGAAAAATACAAAAAATATTAATCAGATGTTAAAGTAAAATTTTTTGCACTACTACAATAGAAGAGAAACAATGCTTGTTAGATTTACTAGTTTTACTTTGTAAAGAAGTTTGGCTGGTTTTATTTGTATAATTTTAGATATGCCAATATTTTGCACCATTTTGCTCCTCGTTTCCTGTGCAGGTCCTGTGTTTGTGGTCCAGTGGCTGTTTGATGAGGCCCAGTTGACAGTTGACAACATTCAGCTAACAGGGCAGCCTGTGCAAGAAGGCCAGTGGCGCTACATCCAGAATCTAGGCATTGAGCTGAGAAACACTCTAAAAGATGTCCCGTAAGACTGCATGGCAACGATTTAAGTAAAGAAATTCAAAATCTGTGTTTACTTATTCATTTTAATATTCGCATCTCCTTTTGTTCAGGGCTATGTTTGCTCCAGCATGCCTATCTCATGAAGTTATCACCAGAAGGTGAGTAAATGTATTGTCTTTAGAACAGTGGTCTCAAACTCAAATCCTCAAGCATTATTGTCATGCTGTTCTGCTTCAGTACATCTGACTCCTACATGCACTCATTAGCAGAGCTCAGCATAGCTTGACTGTATGCCAGTGAGGTAGTTTAGCTATTTAATTCAGGCGTGTAGGACAAGGGATGTGTTAAAAAGTTGCAAGACACCAGTTATTAAGTTTTTGAGTAGGAGACCACTGCTTAAGAGTGGTATGTTTTTTTCTACCATGAGCTAACAGCGCCCTCTTGTGTTGTGTATTAGCTACTGGATCGATGTGCAGGTCAAAGGGACTTCTCTTCCCCGAGCCCTGCACTGCTGGGACCGCAGCCTTCATGACAGCAGGAACAACAAGGCGCCACCCAAAGCCTGCCCTGTGCATCTGATTGACAATTGCCCCTGGCCTCACTGCAACCCCACCTGTCCAACCATCAGGGACCAATTCACTGGGCAGGAGATGACCGTGGTGCAGTTCCTGATGCACATGGGCTTTGACGTCCAGAAGATGGCCCAGCAGCAGGGCATGGACCCAAGCAAATTACTAGGCATGCTCAGCAGCGGCAGCTAAAGGGGCACATACTTCTATTGTAAGCTAGAACCAAGCAGGACTGGAGGGTCTCTCCAGCTTGTCTCCTATAACTTATACCTCTGCTCATTATCCCCACTTTGAATCCAATACCTCCTATCATCCTAAATGCTTCACTTTGATCCTGAAGTCAGGTTTAACACACCAGGCCCACCACCTTGACCAGGCACCACTTTCTGCTACCATAAACAATATTTTTTTTCTGAGTAAAAGCACCAACAACAAATATTTTGAATGTAATTCACTTTTCATGATGCAAACTGTCATTTGATATTTAATTTTGTGATCCTTTTGTAAAGAATAAGTTTAGTCAACACAATAATAATACAAAAATACTATTTGATATGTTAGTTAGTCAGTAGAGCCTATAACAAAAACTGTATCCATCACCTTTTGTCTTTTAGGGGTTTATTTACTATAGATGTCGAGTTTGTAATAGAAAAACATTTGAGCTTGTGTTTTTAGCAGAAACAGGGTAAAATGATAGAAAAGCACACAGTTAAGAAAGCTCTAAAACAACAAACAAAAAAACAAGCACTTGTTGCCTTTATTTAGTATTGAAGGTACATGAATAAAAAGAAGTCAGACATTTATGTTACAATAATTATGAAAATGAGCAGACAAAGCTGTAAGTACGTATGGGCTGCTTCAAGATTTTTAAAATATAAGATTGAGTAAAAATGTCACATTCAAAGAAAGACAATAGATCATGACAGAAAAGCAACAATACTTAAAACTGCTGCTAAAATGACCAAAAATACTCATTATTACAGTTTTCAGTACATTGACCTGTGCAAAAATATAAAAATAACTACTCAGTAAATTTACTAGCAGATTTCAAGTGCTATAATATTAACATATAATCTACTCGAATTAGATATATTACAAATAACAACACTAGTGTTGACCGATATAAATTGAAGGACCTGTGTAAAATACTGAGTGTGGTCCATCAGGTGTTTATTGCATAAAATTAAGTTTATTTTTATAATTATTTTCTCTTTAAAGAAAAATAAAAGCATGATTACCTGAAAAACGAATGACTTGTGAATTAGTTGCGATTCGTTCAGGTTGTTAGTGATCAGACAAAAGCTTTATAGTTATACTGCTCTTCACTTGCCAACTGTATTTTTAAAACAGTGTTACTCTAAGTGTGATAGATGACGGCCCATTTTAATTCCATACCATGACTGTCTGATTTTTACAATCAGAAATATTTCCGATAAAGATGTAGAAAGTGTCCCCTGGTGTCTCATTAAAAGACCTTCACTTGTAGCAATCATATGATAAAGACATTAAGGTGATTTATATATCATAACTTTATATTACCTCATTGTACCCTGATACTTTTAACTGGCCCATAACTTATATCAAATTTGCAGATTTTTGCTAATTAAGATTTTAAAATATCAGTTCTAACAATTTTCTGAAATGGTGCTAAGGTGGACCTGGAAACATGTCACCAGTAGCTACACACGCAGTACAAGCTATACTGCCATTGCATCTATACCTTCTTTTTATGGGCTGTGTCATCAAGAAAGGAGAGTTCAAACCTCATAGGAGGATGCAAACTCACATCAGGTCACCTCCATATAGCTAAACAGTAATCAAATCAATGCATGATGAACATTGAAAGGGAGACATTGTTGTGTATTGTATATTTTATGAGCATTTGTATAGATCTTTGGAAGTGTTCACCATTGTAACTCCCTTCTTATATTTCATCATAGAGATCATGTTTTAATATAATGACAATGTTTGTATGTAATGATGACTTTATAAATGATGTTTGTAAAGGACCTCTATTTTACATTACACCAGAAAAAAGAAGTATTACTAATTGTAATTTTATTCTGTATCATATGTTTTTTAACAAAAAAAGGTAACTCAAGCTACATTGGTAATTTTTACATATTTATTTTGTTATGTAAATCATATTTATAATTGCTATTTTCACAGAGAAGTGATTCTTTGTAAATTGTAAATACACTGTTGTTCTTTGCTTTGTGCTAATTGCATGTCTTTGTATCACACCCAAAAAGCTAGAGATTACATATATTATAAGGTGAACATTTCCGAGCAGTCTAATTATTTGTTATAATTCAGTAAACATGAGTATTGGTGGAGATAGAATAATATTTACTGTCTTTTGAGATAGTGATATACTTTAAAGGATCAGGAGACTTCATCATATCATTGGAGGACTTTCATCACGTCATAGCAACCTACAGTTGAAAAAGTATCCTAAGTAAGAAAAACAGATTAATAAAGTCTGTAAAGTTTTGAGGATAAAATGAACCCTAGACTTTAAATCTGTATCACAATTATGTCATTCCTTTTTAAATGAACAAATTTAATACCTTAAATGGATCTATCCTGCATTGTTCAGCTTTCTTTTTGTATTTTTTCACAAAT